CCTCTGCATGAACCTCTCCTCGCTCTCCATTCTCTGTCAGTTTTCTCACTCCATTTGGTGCTTGGCTGAGTTCTTTATCTCTTCATTTGATGTTTTAGGGTTTCAGGGTTGCTGTTGTCTCTGTTTGGCTTAGTTTTTCAGATCTTTGCTGTGGAGGGATGGCGTGGTGCTTCTGCCTAGAGCGCCATGTTGTCCTAGATGAACTTTTTAATACTGCCACTGGAATGCCTTCTGGGAAGGGATCAAATCATGATGGTAGCTAATAGCATCATTCTCTACCTTCCTTACCCAGTGAGGCACTATGCATAGTGGTGTATTTACGTAAAATAAGTAAATGTATATTTGTACAAAGTTACATTCTATCTTATAGAGATTAAAATATACAACCTTTAGTGGATACTAAAGGTTTAATGAAAATCATGGGAGATAAATTTCATCAATTTTTGTCATGAGACTTTTTCTTTGAGTAGGGAAGTTCCTATCATCTTAGTTTTAGCTTTGCCTCATCTAAGCTATATGGAATCATAAATTAGAAAAACCCTAAATTAGAGAATATAAGTTGAGGAAGGAATAAATTTGTCTCTTGTTATCATCATACAACCATATTGTAAAGGCTATTTCCTTAATATCAGCTGAAAAAATACATGACTAAGAAATTTGAAGCCTTAGGCATCCTAGAGTATTCCTTCAGAACATCAGTGTCATTATTGCTGGTAGCAGTTAAGTCATAAGCATCTTGTTAATCAACAAGGCTAGACATCAAAAGGTTTAACTTGAAAATCCTCTTTAACTTTTATTGCTTATATGTTTTTTTCACCTTTTTTTTAAATTGTGCTTTAGATGGTTTACAGAGCAAATTAGTTTCTCATTAAACAATATGCATATTGTTTTGTGACATTGATTGCCAACCCTGCGATGTGCCAGCACTTTCCCCTTCTTGATCTTCGGTTCCCCATTTCCGTTGATCCAACTTTCCTGTCCCCTCTTGCCTTCTTGTCCTTGCCCTTGGGCTGGTGTGCCCATTTAGTCTTGTGGTTGAGCTACATAATACAATGCTAATAATAATACATGATTGAGCTACATGTATTATTATTTGTTTTATGGACCTGTCTAATCTTTAGCTGAAGAATAAATCTCAGGAATGACTTCAGTACTGAGCTAAAAGGGTGTCCAGGGGCCATACTCTCAGGGTTTCTCCAGTCTCTGTCAGACCAGTAAGTCTGGTCTTTTTTTGTGAGTTAGGATTTTGTTTTACATTTTTCTCCAGCTCTATCCGGGACCTATCAGAGAAGTTGGTGATGGTAGCCGGGCACCATCTAGTTATGATGGATTCAGTTTGGTGGAAGCTGTGGTAGTTTTGGCCCATTAGTCCTTTGGACTAATCTTTTCCTTGTGTCTTTGGTTTTCTTCATTCTCCCTTGCTCCAGGCGGGGTGGGACCAGTGGAGTATCTTAGATGGCTGCTCACAAGCCTTGAAGACTCCAGACGCTACTCACCAAAGTAGGATATAGAACATTTTCTTATAAACTATATTATGCCATTTGAGCTAGATGGTCCCCCTAGACCATGGTCCCCACAGCCCTCAGCCCAGTAATTCGGTCCCTGAAGGAGATTGGATGTGTCTATGAAGCTTCCATGACTTTGCCTTGGTCAACTTGTACTGACTTCCCCTGGATTGTATACTGTCTTACCCTTCACCAAAGTTACTTATTGCTTATATGTTTTGGTTGGAATAAGTTGTCAGAGACAAATGTGGAATTTTGACATTTGTATGCTTATATATTTCCAAAACAGCTCACTGGAAAAAAAAAATCATACTCTTACTAGTAGATTTAGAATTTGTGTATGAAATAGACCATTCTTCTCTCTTCTCTTGGTGCACCACACACGGCCTGTCAACACGCCCTGCCAGAACTAGTGTAGGAGTGCAGGAATCCTTGCTTTATGTTGCCCAGAGACTGTAATGTCAGCTAGAGAAGGAGAGACACCAGAGGAGTATTTTACTCATGAGATTCCTAAGTGAAATCGAAAGTACTTTAAGGGAAAGGTGGCGGGGCTGTTCTAGGGACCCTGCATGTCCTGCTGAGTGGGACATCCTCCCTGTGACACATAGACCACACTTGGCAGAGGAGCAACAGGCCTACTGGCATCCATTGCTGGGCCAAGGGTCTTTTGGGGAACCTTTACTGATTTTCCCTTTTCTATCGTTTCTTTGGAGGGCAAGCGATCACATTGCCTATGCTATCCTTCCTACTATATTGGAAAAATGATAGAAAATATAAAAAAAAATGGCCACTTATTGTTTACTGTTGCTCTCAAGAAAAAATGGTCAGAGTGGTGAGGAAGCTGCTTCTGGTGTTCCACACAGAGGCCGTTAGGAACCAGCAAGTTCCCAAGGATTGCCAGAATGCTCCTACCTGAAATGAATACAGAAATGGTGGAGTATCGCTAAGGAAAATGATGATTGAAATGCTATAAACCATTGCACTTAGGAAAGTTGACTTCCTCTTTGTAATATTACTTACTGAGGATACACCTCCAGGGAGCCCTAGTGCTTAGACTGAAAGCCATTGCTGCTGGTTTTGAAGGATGTCTGCAGAGAACAGCAGTAGGGGTTTCTCCGCAGCTCTTACAACTTTCTGGAAGTAAAGAATAAGTGGCAAAGTGGAAGATTTCTTGACATTTTGAAATATCATTCTGACCAACTGGGGTAGCGAGCTGCACTAGAAATATACATGCAGTAAAGGCAGGTTCATTTGTTAAGCTGTTTGTAAGTAAATGATTTGCTTTTTTGCTATCTGTCCAGAAACCCTGGTAGTGTTGCTTCATATGAAAACAGAAAGTTGGGGTTGACTCCAATATAGCCACCAAACTGGCCCTTTATGAGGTACGAAAAGGAATGGATTTATGCTACATATCACATGCGAAACTCAGTGAATCCTTCTTAGGTTGCGACTTGTCTGAAAATGTTGGAAAAGGAGGCAGGATATTCCCATGGGCTCAGGAAGCCAGGCCATGCTATTTTCCATTTTGAGTCCCTAATGTGTGCCAAGCACTGTACTTGGTGGTTTGGAAGATGCGAAGTTATGTGAACCACAGTTCCTGCTCTCAGGAAGCTGACAAACTTGCTGAGGAAAGGGGGAATGGACAGAAATACTTTATCTTTAAAGCTATTATGTGAAAGGGAGGCATAAGTGCTGGCAGAAAATAGAGAACCGTGGATCTTTTTTTTTTTAGGAAGTTTATTGTTTTTCTGATCCAAAACCAAAATGTGAAGCATTACATGTTACATTTTGATGGTTAAGTATGAGAGTAAAATTTACACTTATGAATGAGGTATGAATTGTAGAAGCTTTCTCAAGGAGATGATCTTGTATATATACATTTTTAGTTTACTGCAGGAGCAGGTAACCCAAGGTCTATGGATCCTTGAAATTTTTCCACAGAATTTAGTGGCTATGGTTTTTTATGCAGTTTTCCTAAAGAAAGGAGGTGGTGGCTTTCAGCAGATTCTTAAACTGTTCTATGACTGAGAAAAGATTAAGAACCATGAATTTAGAGTGCACTCACAGACTCTTATCTTGGCTTTACAATATTCTTCACTTCTTTTCACCTCCACTTCAAACCGTTCTTTACACTGCCGCCAGTGACCTTCCTAAAATATGTATCTCATTATCTTCCTCCCTTCTTTGTCTCCCTGTTGCTCTTAAAATAAACATTAAACTCCTTAACACAGTTAACAGGAACCCTGCCTGTCTCTCCAGCCTCTTCTCTTGGCTCTTTCCCCCCAGTTTCCTACTTGAATGAATCTGAGTTCTCAGATTTCTCTTTGTTTCGTGATCTTTTTGGACTTTCTCCAGTGCTATTCTCTCACCCTGTAATAGTCTGTCACTGCCCTCTTTAAATGACTAACCCTACATATCCTTTAGGTCTCAGCTTGAATATCATTTCCCCTGGGAAGTGCAAGTCTTCTCTTCCTCCCCCTAGATGAGGTTAATTGTCATGCCTTAGGATCCCATAGCACCCACCCTGAACTTCCCCTGCCTAACATCTCTCACGCTCCGTACATACTGTGTTTGCCAAGTGTACTTGTTCAATTATCTGTTTCTCCTCCTGATAAAGGGGAGGAATCGGGTCTGTTGCTCGTGCTTTATGTACAGTTTTGAGTTCTGTATGTTTTAATCAATTATATCTTGCTCATTTTTCCATTTTGTTTTATGCAAAAAAATGTTAAGACTGCATCATGTTCCATCATATGATTGTACCATATTAACCATCCATCAACTATTGTTGGACGTTTAGGTTATTTTTTAGCTTTTTTGCTATTATAATGTTACTCTCCACATCTTTGCACATACATCTTTTTCAAAGTTCAAACTCTGTTTCCTTAAGATAGTTTCCTAGAAAGAGGATAAAAGTTTTAAAGGTTTTTTATTTTGTCATTGTTACCTGCTGTTGAGTTGGCCTGCCGACTCATGGAGACTCTGTACACAATGGAACAAAATGCTGTCTTGTCCACGATCGGTTATGGATCAGACCGTTGTGATCTATAGGGTTTCATTAACTGGTTTTTTTGGAAGTAGATTGCCAGGACTTTCTTCCAAGTCTGTCTTAATCTGGAAGCTCCACTGAAGCCTGCCCACCATGGGAGACCCTGCTGTTATTTGAAATACCAGTAGCATAGCTTCTAACATGATAGCAATACATAAGTCACCACAGTATGACAAAGTAACAGATGGGTGGTGCTATACAGACTTACTTATATATAATTATTATATAATTAAAATCCTTTAGAACATGGCAAGAAATATTGTAACCTAACTTTTCTCTTGAAAGTATGTGGCTAAACAAACTAGAACTCTTATTAGTCTTAGTGTTCAAAACCTTTTCAGTTAAAAAGAAAAGATCCAAAGTGGTTTATATTTTGAAAATATGTTTCAAAGAAAACCATCCAAAAGTAAGATTACTTTATTTCTGTGTGTTTTATTTTATAATCTTAGGCAAGGCATTGACATATCTTCTGCTGCAGCCCCCGAGTCCCAAACTTCCAGCACACAGCACTATTCGAAGAACAGCTATTGATCTAATTGGACGAGGCTTCACAGTTTGGGAGCCTTACATGGATGTGTCTGCTGTTCTGATGGGGCTTCTCGAACTTTGTGCTGATGCTGAGAAACAACTTGCCAAGTAGGTGCTCAGTTCCAGTTAATTTAATTTGTTGTTGCTTTGCAGGGGAGGGGTGGGAATTTATAACTCTTTATAAATTGTGTGTATTTAATAGACAAAAAACTTAATACGTGAAATTTTGGATATGGACAATTAAAAGGAGGCATTTTTCTGCAATTTTAACACAATTGGGATTTAGTATTGAGCCAATGAATGATTGATCTGTGACAGAATTTTCAAATTGTGTACCTTGAAATATTATTAACTAATAATAGTATGCACAATAGTCACAACAAGAGACTCAAACATACCAGTCATCATGATGGTAGAGTTCCGTTCTGTTATACACAAGGTCACCATAAGTCAGAGCTGACTGGATGCAACTAACAACAACAATAGTGTAAATACATGGTTTGTAAGGAAGCTGATAGGCATATTTGATGCTTGCTCAAAAATGTTTTACCAGTAGAGGACATGGCCAATAGTTTGGGCAACCACTCCTCCACACTCCTATTCTTTTTTAAACCAATTTTTAAAAGGTTTCATTTGAACACAATAAAATGCACCCATTTAAGGTATACAGTTTGATGGGTTTTAGCAAATGTATAACACGTGTAATCACAGCCACACTCGAGAGAGAATGTTTACATGACTCTGAAAGTTCCATCATGCCCGTCCCTGGCCCCAGGCAGCCCCTCTTCTGGTTTCTTTTTTTTTCTTTTCTTTTCTTCATTGACATATAATTCATATACCGTAAAATTCACCCTTTTAAAGTGTACAATTCAGTGAATTTTCATATATTCACAAAGTTGTCCACACTGCTATTAGCTTCAAATTTTTGAAATACAAATCTGCTTATGTCATGCATCTGATAGAATTTGTGTGTTTGGTGCATTGCCACTGCGTATAGGTTAAGCATAACACTTCTTAGCCAGGGCCTCCTTAGCTTGTCCTGGCCACTGTCACCTTCCACCTCCTCTAGGACCCACAGTGAATGCCTTTTAATTACTAGAACGCAGAGTATTTTTGTATAATTACGTTTTTTCTCTTTGTTACCATGTTCCTACCTGTTCTTCAATGCTTAAGTCTTTTAAAGCCTTCCCTAACTTCCACAAGCACAGGTAAATTCTCTTTCCTCTGTACTACTTAAGTGGATAGTGTTCAAAAATGTTTCTAGTTTAATTCATCCCAGTGTTTTCCATCTCTTAGGGAAACAAAAAATATATTGCAATCTAGTTTTGAAGATGAAATATATACATGTGAAAATTTAATATAGAATAAGAAAATGATGCAGAAGAAAGATACCAGCATACAAGAAGTGATGTTGTTAGGCGCTGTCAAGTCGATTCCAACTCATAATGACCCCATATGACAAAGGAGAACTGCTCCATTGGATTTTCTTGGCTGTAATCTTTACTGAAGCAGATAGCCAGATTTTCTCCCGAAGAGCCGATGGGTGGGTTCAAACCGCCAGTCTTTCAGTTAGCAGCCAAGTGCTTTACCATTTGTGCCACCAGTCTCCTTATACAAGAAGTAGAGTATATTAAGTGTCAAGAAACAGTAATAAACCAAAACTCAAAACTATTGCTGTCAGGTCAATTCCAACTCATAACAACCCTATAGGACAGAGTAGAACTGCCCCATACGGTTTCCAGGGAACGGCTGGTGGATTCAGCTGTTCGAATCCTATGGGGCAGTTTTACTCTATCCTGTAGGGTTGTTATGAGTTGGAATTGACTTGACAGCAATTAGTTTTGGATATGAAATATGTAGCTGGAGGGTCAAAGAGTACCAGATTGTGGGAGATCTTGAATGTCAGGCTTAAAAAGTTCAGACTTTATCTTATCATGTTACATTTTTCTACCAAATACCTGTAATGGCCAGTAAGTAGGTGTAAGTCATAGCATCCACAACAAGTAGAAATTTCTTAGAAACCTTGGGTTCTAAAAATTTCATTAAGCACTTACACTCCATTCTGTAATAATTTTACACTCATTTTAATATAAATATGTTTTAAAATGACTTACCTTCTAATAATGGTGGTACTCCAAGAAGATGTGCCATATTTATTCTGTGACTTTTAGCCATTCTGGGCATACCCTTCGTTGTGTTGATTACCCCATTTGAGAAGCCAGATTTTAAAGGTGTGGTAGTGGGTAGTATGGCTACAACATGATGAAAATCTTTAATAAATGAAGTTAATTCTCTTCAGGATAGTGTAGTAGAAATTAATCAAAGGCTACCATATCTGGCAATCAATATATTCATGAATTAGGCAATGATTTACTGGCATACCCCATCTCCGCTAGGTCCTGGAGAAAGAGAAATAAAAGACAGAAGAGCAGTGGGGCCTGAACAGGACCTTGAAGGATGATTAGGAGTTAGGTAGGCAGGGGGGATGGGGAAGATAGTGTATATACATTGAGGTTAGATTGGAAGGAAGCTGGGCCAGAGAAATGAAAAACAGACACAAGGAGGTCGCAGTGACCCAGGCAAGCAATGACGAGAGAGTAAGGGAAGAGGAAGATGAGCTGAGGGAGTTGGCTAAAATGAAATAAGTGAGAAGCACTTGTTAGTCAACTGGCTAGGAGTGATTTGGAGGATGGAGAGGTGGGTATGCAGTAGAGATCAGTGTTGTCTTGAGAACTTAACCTCCTGATTCGTGAAAGAATGGGGGGTGGGGGGGTTAAAATACACATAACATAAAATTTACCACTGTAACCATCTTAAAGTATACAGTTCAGTGGCATTAAGTACATTCACAGTGATGTACAAATATCACCACTATCTAGTTCCTGAACTTTTCATCACCTCAAATGAAAATCCTGTACCTCTTACAAAGAAGTCACTCCATATTACTCCCTCCAACAAGCCCCTGGTAACCACTAATCTACTTTCTGTCTCTATGAGTTTACCTATTCTGGATATTTCATCTAAATGGAATCATACAGTATGTGGCCTTTTGTGTCTGGCTTCTTCCACTTAGCATAATGTTTTTAGCTAAGGTTCAGCCATGTTGTAACATGTATAAATACTTTAATCCTTTATAGCTAAATAGTATCCCATTGTCTGGATATACCACATTTTGTTTATCCATTCATCAGATAATGAGCATTTAAGTTGTTTCTACCTTTTGGCTATTGTGAATGGAACTTCTATGAACATTCATATATAAGAATCTGTTTGAGTCCCCTGTTTTCTATTCCTTTGGGTAGATACTTAGGAGTGGAATTGCTGGGTCTTATAATTCTATGTTAACCTTACTGAGGAACCGCCAAACTGCTTTCCACAGAGGCCACACCATTTTACATTCCCACCAGCAATGTGTAAAATTTGTATAAACCATTCTAATGAGTAGGAATTCTTGAACTGTCCCATGATGCTTCTCTTGACGAAAATGTTAGCACCTCTTAGATTTTCTCAGTGAATGGCATTTCACTCTTACCACTGGTAACCATTTAAAAAGCTAGAGTTCGCCAATCTTTCTTTATGGTTACCTTTCTCATATTCCATACATTCTAGAATGCTTTGGGACTGTAGCATACTGGCTATAGTATGCTGACTGCTCTGTGCTGAGGAAGTAGAGACCAGAGAGACAGCTGAAGGCTAGAATGAAATGTTGTAGTTTTTTCTACAGATTGAGCATTACCAGCCCAGGGTCCCAGATTGATAGATGGGAGAGGGTCCCAGATTGATAGATGGGAGGGGGGTAGTCATTTCAGACCTACATAGCTGTCCTCCCCCTGCCTTTTCCTGTCATCCCACCATGCTTCCTAAACTTCACCTTTGTGTTTTCCTAGCTGTATGACCTTCAGCAAATTACTTCACCTTTCTGCCTCAGTTCTGTCAACAAGTTAGGGCTAATGAAGACACCTACCTCATAAAGTTGATGTTAAATGAAGTTTTATTTGCAAAGTGTTTAGAAGAGTATTTAGGACGTATTAAGAAATTAGTGGATGTTACCCATATGGTGCAGCCCTGGTAGCACAGTGGTTAAAAGGTCAGCAGTTCAAATCCACCAGCTGCTCCTTGGAAACCCTATGGAGCAATTCTACTCTGTCCTGTAGGGTTGCTATGAGTCAGAATTGACTCGACGGTAAGGGATTTGGTTTTTTTGGTTTTACCCATATGGTGATAGTATGGATGGTAATGCCATTATCATTGTCCTGGTATCGAACAGATCAAGAACTACCCAATTCTAGAATGAACATTTGGCATAGTGGTAGCCAGCATAGCTTTTGGGTATAGGAGACCAGGAGGTTTCCAATTGACTTTAAGGATTAGGAGGGAATGTGGGCCATTGAGTTTGTGCTAATAGTAAGAGGCAGCTGGACTTTGTGCAAGGACCTTGAACATAGTTCCAGCACTTTGCCCTTCCCTGTGCTGCAGCTGTCAGGCACAAGCTCCAAGGAGTCCTCACGCCTCACTGGTTTATCTGGAGAAGACATAACATTTTTTGATTGTCCAAAACTTTGCATTGACCTAGTTTTATAGCATATTTTGAAAACTGACCTAAACAAAATTTCCATAGTATACATTCAGTTTTGTTTCCCAGGAGAAGTGATGAGTTTTCATTTTAGGTTTAGTTTTTAATATTTTATTTTTAAATAAGTTTATATGAAGCTTATATTGGGCAAACATAAAGATACGCTTATATCTTATTTGTATGTAATATGTCCACAGACACAAATACTGTAGTTTTTCAGTAGGTAATTTAAATCTTGCTATTACATCCTTTTCTGTCACGAAGATTAGTATGACTCAGTACACAGCTCTGAATAAATGAATGTATCAGCATGTAGCCTTGAGGAGCCCAATGTGATTTTCATCATGATAAATTGCATAATAAGCAAGAAAATGTTTGCTTATTAATCTATAACAAGATTTAGATTGAAAATGGCCTGTTACATCCATAGCACACTCGGTGCAGGCTGCAGGACGACCAAGACACTGAGGCATGGAGGAGCCATGCGTGCAGGAGGTTAAGCGTGCATCTTACCCTGCTGGTGCCCTGCTGCTCT